TCGATGAATGTCATACACAGGGGTTTCCTATATTCGTTTATTTTTTTCTCTTATTCGGGTGAGCATGTGTATGTGGTCTGTTGTTGAGAATCCACTACAGAAGCCTGTCTGTTCTCTAGGCTGATTAGAATCCAGACTGTCAGAGATGCGAATTATGATGATTTTAGTGACCAGTTTGAAAGTAACTGAAAGGAGGCTCATGGGTCGGTATTTTTTTAAAATCTTTTCTGTCCCTTTTTTATGTATCAAAATAATTGTTGCATTTCTCCAGGCTTTCGGAATTTTCCATTGAGAAGGCATTTGTTAAAAAGATTGGCTAGTTTCACTGTGCAATTTCTCCTGCATCTATTGTAAGGTCTATACTAATTCCGTCTTCACCTGGCGTTTTCCCTCTCTGCATGTCTTGAAGCGCTCTCTTTATTTCTTCTGTTGTGATATTGGGTATTTCTCTAGTTACCGCGTTCGCTTCTATCCGCGGCTGTTTCATCTGTAAACGTTTTCCATTTCTCTTATGATTTCATTCTTATTATATATCACTTTTCCGTCTAGTTTCTTTATTGCATATATTTGATTTTTCCTTATTCCGAGTCTCCTTTTAGCTGTTTTCATGCTGACACCTAAGATCACTGTTTCCTTTATTATTTCAATATTGGATTTCCGTACATCTTCTTTTTATCTATAGTTTTTGTTAGTTCAACTAATTTTATGTTGTCCCTATTTGATGATACTTTCATGATCCTATGTTTTTGCATAGTTTCTATCGACAGCTTACTGGAGCTTTGTTTGACGTTCTTACCGCCTACTTCAAGTGCAGCTTCCTTTATTATATCATTGAACTGTTTGTTGATTTGGTCAATGTTGAGATTTTCGTCGCTAAGAAGTAAATATCTGTTTTGGATGTTAATGCTAAATTCTGTCGCTCTGGTCTTCAAGTTAGCTAAGTTTGGCTGCGGTTTTCGCATGAGTTTATTCCTTTCCCTTCTGAGATATAATTTGATTTGGCCTCTGACCAACCTATGGTAGCTGCCGACATTTACATTTTTACTATATCGCGCCCATTTGAAATTATGAAGTCAGTTTCGTTTTTGATGTCCGATGGCGACTTCCATGTCCACTTCCGCTTTAGTCTTTTTTCGAAGAATGTATTCATGATATTAAGTGAACAAGCATTCGCAAAATCGACTAACATTTGTTCCCTCTCATTCCGCAGTACCTATTCCGTGATTCCCCACTACGGGTTCTCCTGTCTTTTTACTATTTTGGCATTAAAGTCTCCCATAATTACTGTGAATTGGGTTTTCTCTTGCTAGCTAAATGAATATCTTAGAAGCTCTCTATTTCTTCATCACTGTGGCTGCAGGTTGGAGCATAGACTTGAACAATCTTTAAGTTGTACCTATTGTTTAGTTTTATTATTACTGAAGCCACTCTTTCGTTTATGCTCTGCAATTTTACTATATTCGTTTCTAAACGTTTGTGAACTAAAAAAACCTACCCCTAATTCTTACTTGCTGCCCTGTGCTTTACCTCAACAATAGAGCACGTGTCCATCATTTAGTATCTTATTGTTCCGGTATTTCTATGATCTAATATAGCTAAAAGAGGATCTTTACCACAATCCATGGCTTTTCTGATCAATTTCTTGGCTGTTTTAACTGCTGATTCTGCCATTCCATTTGACTTCGGATAATGTGGACTACTTGTTTGATGGTTAAACTCATAACTTCTAGCAAAGTCTTTGAATTCCTCACATCTGAACTGTGGTCCATTGTCACTTACAACAATTGAAGGGATACCATACCTTGTAAAGTGAGCTTTCAACTTTTTAATTACTGAGTTAGCTGATGTTCTTTCCAGTCTATCAATCTCCCAAAAGTTACTGAAATAATCAACTGTTACAAGATTATAATTATTGAGTTCAAATAAATCTACTCCAACTTTATCCCATGGTCTGTCACTTATCTCATGAGTCATCAGAGTTTCTTTACATTGAGAATCAGTATATTTGTTACAAGTCTCTCATTGGGATACATACTGTCTAACCTCAGGATTCATTCCTGGCCAATAAACACATTCCCTAGTACGTCTTAGACATCCTTCAATACCTATATGTGATGAGTGTATGGCTTCTTTGATTTCAGGTCGTAATTCTCTAGGTATAACAATTCTCTCTCCTTTGAAAACGAACCCATTCTGTACTGAATACTCATCTCTATTGTTATAGTATGGTAATAACTGACATGCGACATTCTCTTTGCTACTAGGCCATCCTTCTACAATTCTCTCTATTAGTAAATTCATTACTTCATCATCTAAAGTTGACCTTTGAATCTTTTGCAATATTGTGGGCTGTATGGGTACAAATAATAACATGTTAATGTTTTCAAATTCTTTTCCCCCTCCATTTTCTGGCAAATAATTTCTGGACAAGTAATCTGCAACATGCATATTCTTTCCTGGCTGATATTCTACTTCAATATTATACTCAAATGCGCTCAATAACATTCCTTGCAATCTACGTGGTGCTCGATCAAGGGGTTTCTTCATTATAGCCTGTAAGGGCTTATGGTCATTGATGACTTTGGTTAACCTTCCAAAAGTATATTGATGGAATTTCTTTAGTGCAAAAACTATGGCTAACATTTCTTTCTCTATTTGAGCATATCTTGATTCAGTCAAACTTAGAGCACGGCTAGCATAACATAATGGTTTGCCTTCTTGCAATAAAACTGCACCAAGTCCTTTCTGACTTGCATCACATTGAACTGTTAAAGGTTTGTTTGGATCATAATATGCCATTATTGGTGTATTTGTCAATAATTCCTTAATTACTTTCTGCTTTATAATGACTGGTACTCTACATGAATTCACAGTAACAGGAACATGTCTCTCATCTACAGTTAAATGAATTTCACCAGGCAAAGTTCCTAATCTTTCTGAAAATACATCATCATATTTGAACAATGCTTCATCTATAGAACTAATATTCTCATAATTCACCTTAATGAGATCCATCTGCTCACATGCTCTCTTACCTAAAATTGGTGTGAAATCTTGCTCTACTACAATAAAGTTGACAGAATATTTCTTTCCATTACTACAATTCTTTATATCTATTCTACATTCTCCTAACGGATAAATCTTTATAGAACTCCACATACCCAAAACTGCATCTGTCTTCATCAGATTTGTCTTAGGTATCAGCTTTCTTGGAATTACATTTACACTGGCATCAGAATCTAATTGAAATTGTACACTGTTAGATCCTACTTTGAACTCAGTTAATACAAAATTTTCTTTAGAACATTGCTTGATTTGCATAATATACTGCTTGTCCTCATCATCTGGTTCACTACTGTCATCTTCAGCAACATTATGGATTTTTTTCTTAGCAGCAAATTCTTTGTGCTTCACTTTTGAAATACATACCTGTGCAAAGTGATTTTCATTACCACACTTACTGCAGGTCTTGCCATACGCTGGACAGAGTTGTCTCTTCCATGGATGAGTTTTGCCGCAGAACTTGCATTCTTTCAGCTTCTTCTCACCTTCTGAGGAGCCGATAATCATTTTTTTTTTATTATTTTCTTTGGTGCTTCATTCACTCTGTTTACTACTCTCTATTTCTTTCTTGAAATAATGACATCTGCTTCTGTGTAGCTTGGTGTGCAACACAAATCTTCATTGCATCATTGAATGAAAGGGTCTCTTCTTTGAAGAATTTCTCTCTTAGAGCTTCATCTCTGCATCCAAATACCAGCTGATCACGCAGGTGTTCTTCTGTCTTGTCACCATATCCACAATCTTTCACCATGTTCTTGAGTTTCGTGATGGTGTCAATGGTCATGTCTGCCGATTGTTGGCATCTTCTATATTTGTATCTTGCTATTAGTGTATTCTCTCTTGGGGCAAAATGACTGTCAAATTTCTGGAGAACATTTTCAAGAACTTGTGCAGGGTCAGCCTCACCTTCATTGGGTTTTGGGAAGTTGAAAGAATTATAAACTTCTATTAATTCATCTCCTCCTACCGTCAGTAATAGTGCGACTTTCTCCTCCTGTGTTCTTGTCTTGTAACCAGCTGCTAACATGTAGGGGTTAAACTTCTGCTTGAAATTCTTCCAAGCTTCATCCGTATCTCCCCTCAGTACAAGTTTGGTTGGCACAGACAGTCCGCCGGTCGCCATGCCGTCTCCTTGCTGCGCAGTATAACGATCTTCCAAAACTTATCTCGATTACGGCGTTCCCTCTTATTGGCAGTAGTTATGATTCTCTCTGCATCTTCCTTGATGATTATATTACATCTTTCGCTGCCACCTTGTTTCGTTTAGTCGTTGTCTATGCCATAATAAGCGCTCGGAGGCGAGGATAGACCAGACTCGAAGTATTGTGATTCTTTATTTCCTAGGAATAACAAGTGTGAGGGGCGGTTACACTGAAGAAATAGAGTGCATTTAAAGAAAACTGATGAAAAACAGGGTGACATACAGCAACCTAGTGTCATAGAGCAAGATAGAATCATAGAAAGGAATGACACTGAAGTAAACAATAACACACAAAGTGAAAGCCAAATGAGTGATAATGTAAAGGATCAAGAGCCAAAGTACAATTTAAGGCCAAGCAGAAATAGATTACCAGTGAAATTTAAAGACTACGAGCTACACTAAAAAGCCATGTAGTTATTTGAAGAAGTTTAATCTTGTAATCTATAACATTGTAAGTGTACCTTTAAATACAAAAGAATTATATGCTTAAAGAGTATGATATATTTTGATAGAATAATGAAGTTCAGTTTGAGTTATGATTGTATTGTAACTAATGAAGGCTAAGAAGCTATTTCAGTTTACCTCAGAATTATTTTGTAATATTTTATTTTTCAAAAGAGAAAGGATGTTCCGGTATTCGCAAATTATGATAGTATACCCGACCCGTTTTCTGTTATGTAAGCCACAGCAGTACAACCGCTCCCCACACCTGTTATTCTCAGGAAATAAAGAATCACAACACTTCAAGTCTGGTCTATCCTCGCCTCCGAGTGCTTATTATGTCATAGACAACGACTAAACGAAACACTTATGTTCTTCGCTTAGTCTTCTAACCTCACAGAATCCTACAACACCCCATTTAAGGAAGGAGAGTTCCTCAAGTAATGCTAGTAAGTCGGATTCCGTTCTCATTGTCCTTATTTTATATGTTGAAAGGATCATCAACGTAGGGCAACCTGTTGTCCTTTGCCGGGGATTCTTAAAGCGGGGTTTACACGGACGAGCGGCTCGTCGAGCCAGGTTGTCGAGCCTGCTTGACGAGCCGCTCCATCTGCTTTCACACACTGTAGTGCATCGAACCTCAGTGTGCCTCCTGCCTAAATAACAGCAACATGTCTCTAGACCAAGACGACTGGATGAGCCTGATATGTATGGATAAATTCAGTAAATAATAGCTGGATAAATAATAAATATAAATAATAGCTGGATAAATAATAAATATAAATAATAGCTGGATATATAATAAATAAATAATAGATGGATAAATAATAGCTGGATAAATAATAAATAATAATAAATAAATAATAGTAAATAATAAATAAATAAATAATAGATAATAATAATAAATAAATGAATAATAAATAATAATAATAAATAAATAAATAATAAATAATGATAAATAAATAATAGTAAATAATAAATAAATAAATAATAAATAATAATAATAAATAAATAATAAATAATAATAAATAAATAATAATAATAATAAATAGATAATAATAATAATAAATAAATAATAATAATAATAAATAAATGATAATAAATAAATAAATAATTATAAATAAATAATAAATATAAATAATAGCTGGATAAATAATAGCTGGATGAGCCTGATATGTATGGATAAATTCAATGAGGACTTCCTTCTCATTCTTTTCAAGGGCAGCCATTATTGTTTTTGTTTCCAATGTGTTCCCCCTAGTAGGTTGGAAGCACAACTGAGGTTTGTTGCTCGACAGCCGTTCACACCCGCAAACCAAACGTTGAACAATTAAGCCCCGCCCATAAAAGTCAAGATGAGTCTGACTTTCATCGAGCCGCTCGACGGGCGCGCTCTACAACCAAATATCCCGTTCACACGGTCGAACATCACTTCAAACATGTGGTTGTCGAACCTGGCTCGACGAGCCGCTCGTCCGTGTAAACCCCGCTTAACACCCTCTGCTCCGGAGCGATCCTGATCTCCGCCGTAACCAGGAGGTCCTTCGCCTCCGGGGGATGATTTTTGATTGTGAGGTAGACAGATGAGTACCTCCCACACACACACACACACACACACACACACACACACACACACACACACACACACACACACACACACACACACACACACACACACACACACACACACACACACACACATATATCAGTCCTGGGTAAAACGTTAAACTGCACCCTGGGTTGCCCTTTGGAAAGGCATATTACCCATTTTTCACCCTTGGTTGGGGTAAAAACAAAACTGTTGCAACAGCGCAGTGGATGCATGTTGGAGGTTCATTCAGTACAACTGAAAATGATGGCTTCAACAGAAATGGCAGAGGTACACCTTCCGGTAGAGGAAACCTGTGGCAGAGAAAGTGTACTGGGAACCCTACTCTACTATTCTTCCCGATTATCCTCAATGATGTTGGTACAGAAAAGAAAAGACTCATGCCACATCGCTCGTCCTTGGACTACCAAGGAGCGCGTTGCCAGTCTGGGTAACCAGACTGGCAATATGCTGAAAATATGCTTTGTAATATGCTGAAAAAATAGGCCTAAAATAATTAAAAGGCGTTATGGAGTTCCTTACTATTCTTCCCGATTATCCTCAATGATGTTGGTACAGAAAAGAAAAGACTCATGCCACATCGCTCGTCCTTGGACTACCAAGGAGCGCGTTGCCAGTCTGGGTAACCAGACTGGCAATATGCTGAAAATATGCTTTGTAATATGCTGAAAAAATAGGCCTAAAATAATTAAAAGGCGTTATGGAGTTCCTTATCAGTTGTATAATGTGAAGGGAATTTTCAAAATAGATTTTGGCGCGTGAAGAATAGTTTAGCATGAATGGACCTTACGGAATTTTTGGGAAAAAAAGTTGATGAACACCTTCATAAACATAAAAGATTGGACGTTTTGTATGTATGCTTTTATCAAAATTAAAAACAATATCATGTTTTAAGTGTCTATGGTGTACTACTTTAATTTGTTCAAAGAAAGAAAGAAAATAAAAAATATATATACATATTCTTAATGGCTTTAGTGTGCGTATGTCTGTCTGCGAGTATAAGTGGAACACATGTCGAACAAACTGCAAAAAGAACAAAGAAGGGAAGGACAAGAAAAAACGAATATGCCGAAGGCCTTTCCGTAATATTGCTTCTTCAGGGCATGAAGAGGGCATTCGGCACATATATATGAGCTTATGCATACACACACACACACATATATATATATATATATATATATATATATATATATATATATATATATCAGTCCTGGGTAACACGTTAAACTGCACCCTGGGTTGCCCTTTGGAAAGGCATATTACCCATTTTCCACCCTTGGTTGGGGTGAAAACAAAACTGCTGCAACAGCGCAGTGGATGCATGTTGGAGGTTCATTCAG